TATCAGACTTAAGCTTGTCTAAGTCAAGTTTCAGTTTTTTAGTAGGATGAGGGGCACTTCTAAGTTGCTTCTCGCTATTACTGTCCTGAATCTTTATTTTAAGCACGCATTCCAACAGTTTGTGGTCACTATTTAAAGTTGGATGGAAAAATGCTTTGACGTCTGGAAATAACATGTCCTTCATTCTACTGATGAGAATGTGGTCTATTTGAGAGCTTGTTCTACGATTGGCCCATGTGTAACTGACCGATTGTGATTTGCTCAACGATACGTAGTTTCTTAATTCGAGACAATGCAGCATTGTTTTAAGCTCTATCCCATTTGCATTGCAATCATTGTGAAACAAGTTTCTTCCGATATACTCACGGTCATCCTCCGCCAAATCATTTTTTTCCCAGACGAGCATTCATGTCACCTGCTATTATAATACGGCTTCTTAAACTTTCAGGAAGCCCAGATACGTAATTTGTAAGAATGTCAAATTCGTTGTTCTCCGTAACTTCCGCGCCTCTTATGTAAGTGGAAATGAAGATGATGGGTTCCTTGAACACTTTGCATAGAAATGAGCACGAATTGCTGCTTATTTTCCTGAAGCAATGCTGTTCATACAAGTTCTTATTAATAAGAACAGCCGTTCCTCCTCCTATGCGGTCTCTTAATACGGATTCGTTGTTTACATTGAACCAATGATAATGTTGTGTATCGATTGTGCATGCTGCCATCCTTGTTTCTTGTAGGGCAATTATCGCATATTCTTTTTGAAAGAAGCATAAATCCAGTGCCTCTTGCTTCTCCCTATCGGAACAGCCTCCTACATTCCAGCTTGATATCTTCAATTCTGTTCTCTTCGTATAAGCTAATTGTGTTTGCTGTGGCTCGATCGATGATGTCGTTGTCCTCATGCTTATTTGGGATTCGTTAGGCCTATTGTTTCTTTGCCACGCTTGTACCTGCGGTAATGGAGGTCGGTATTCATTTTCAGAATTGTTTGGCAGCCTGTCGTAGTTGTTGTTCAGAATTCTATCTTTTAGAATATGAATTACACTATCGTAGTGGTTTCTCAAACCGTGTACAGATCTGCTTCCTGCTATGCGATAAGCTATTCTAAGTGTTCGATTAACAACTCCTGGATTATTGTATTTATTAATTTGTCCTTCTTCGTGGTAAACATCGATCCTGCAGTTTAGCACTTCTGCTGTTGCGGCTATAGTTTCTTCTCCACCCTTCTCTTTCATGCTCAAGCCGACATAAAAAATCCTGGATGGCTTGTTCTGTGTCCTTGCTCCTATTTAGTCCCGCCTCGATAGTTGATTGCAGCAGGCATGGTTGGTACCTGTCCGCATTGTTCCTGATGTGGTGAACAACCATTCTTCTGAAGTTGATGATTTCAGTTGCATGACGCTGTTCACGGATATCGTATTTGTAATATTGGTTAACAAGTGCTGCAAATAGGCAACACCCGTCGCCTGGTATAACCCGTACTAGCACTACACCATTACTGTATTTCATTCGCTCCATAGTTATATCATGGAACATTCGACTTAAATTGGCTAGATTGAAACCTGGAATAACCAAATTGACTACCTGAAAACATCTAATCCCTTCGCGATGTCAGCACTACAATAGGGTGCCACCGCATGTATCAGCGCAGCTAGTCCTTGCCCTACTGAAGTACTGACAGATCTTCCATACCATTTTTTTTTGGTAAGCGCTACCAAATTGCGAATTACTTCTGCGTAAGCTCCGTAGACGTAGGCGCGTTGATTCCGACAACCGCGAGAAGTTAAACATGCATCAATACAACATAAGGAAGGATCTATTTTTCAGTCACGTAGGATTTAGTTCATAGATTAACATTGACTGTTGTTTACAAATGTAAGTACTTGAACACTAAGAAACTATTCCTCTCCTTGTTAATGCTGCTTGTTATTGGTCTGCTCGCGTTTTATTAATGAAGTTCAAGACTAAATAGGAAAATTTATTATAAAACTTTAAAGGTTAGTTGCCTCCCTAAGCGGACCCTCCGCATCCTAATTCTTTTGTTAATCTACCTAATGTTATTAGACTTTCTGAACTTTCGTTTGATGAATATGATATCTAATTAGTCTAATTTAATAAATTATTGAAATCTCTATTTCACCATACAAATCACTTGTGCTTGTAATCTAAAGTTAAAAGTGTTTCAAGTACTTTTGATTTTGACCTATACCCACAGACAAACAGACATAACACTCGCAAGTTGTTCATCGAACAAGCATTTAACGGTAAATTTAAAAGTATCGTAGTTGGTAGTACCGCCAACTGTGGCGCGCATAGTCAATTCCCTTACGTTTGACGTTTACACACTACCGCCATCTGTTCTGCGTACTACCTACCATAGTGTACTCAACAGATGGCGGTAATGTTTTAGCGACGATGTTTTACAGTGAGAAATATTCAAAGAGTTATGTCTGTTTGTCTGTGCTATACCTATTTATTATATCTTAGCTCGACCCAGGTGACACCTTCAAGTGACTAAAATGCTTCATTTTGAAGTTAGTTTCCTAGCTGATTTTAAATTATATAGGGTATATGCTCCAACTACGCTCACACGTTTCCACTATGGCGTCCCACAAAATTACGTATGGATATATCACAATGGAAATCCCGAGCCATAGTTCAAACATTTATCCCAAATCAAAATGAAGCACATATAAGATTAGTTACAATACCATGTACAAAAATGATGTTTAACATTGTTTTCTGAGTAATACTTCAATGAAAACAACAATGAAAGCTTGTCACGCAAATAGAAGGAGCACCGTTGAGCACTTTCTGAAATATTTCAATAGTATAATTCCCTTGCAAACCCAAATAAATCTATCTGCGTAAAAATAAATAAATTAACAGTGATTTACGGCAAAACCCGCCAGTATCACACCCAACGTCAGTGCCTATACGTAAGCGTACTACGACGCGGCTCTCAATTGAAGGAGTAACAAGTGTGATACTATCACTGCTGGACTAGATCTTTGGTTCTCTCATGCAGTGGTTTATCAGAGAGGGGAAGCTTAGTAATTCCCATTTCCTGCCCATGGCGCCATTCTATCGCGACATGAGCCGGCAACGTCGGCCATAAGCCCACCGTCTCCAACACTCCACTAGCATGAAATTAAGCCCGCCCACCAACAGCAAGGTGCAAAAACTAGCCAAGGGGAGGGCAATTCTTATGAGATTGATTCTTGGTATTCAATTCGAAGCATCAATCTTTGAACAGCTACAACTTTTTTTTAAAAGACATTCTTGCACCGTATTTCCTTTGGCAAAGTTGCTAGGAACTTCCTGGACCATATCAAGCTGAACATTGCATTAGTTCCTAAGTAACATTGACAGATTCTCTTCGTCGACTTTCTCTTTGTATCCCCACGGCCATCTTAAGATATTTCCACGTATTTTCAGCACACATATCGATAACAGAAGCTATCATCTAGCATCTAATACGACAAACACAACAAGAAACGGTGATGTGCTTATGTTATTAACGAAAGAGAAAGTCGACGAAGAGAATCGATCCATGTTACTTAGGCCCTAATGTAATGTTCAGCTTGATATCTGTACGTGATTAGCTGCATAGTTCAAACAACATTGTGGTATCTAGTAGAAATACTCAGAGGGAGAGATAGGCGGAGAAAACAAAATACAATTTGGCAGCAGGGACTTGTACCTAAATTATCTTGCCCTTGCCCTTGCTAGAAGCTAGCATTTCCAAAGACTTTTATTTTTGATTCGATTTACGTGCAAAATAATAATTGATTGCATCGCAATATTTTGCACATTTCTTGGTTCCACGTATAAACCAAGATCAATTAATCAATAGAGTTACAATATTGTTTTTGATTCCAAAAACTAGTTGAGTTTGAAAAGCGCACTAAACATAAAGGTGATTGAATGTCTGTTCGATTGCAATACTCTTAAATTTAATCTAGTAAGAATAAGAAATCCTCGGAATTTTCTAATGGAAATGTTCAATTGGCTCAAAACATTCTCTCCGCCCATCTCTCCCTCTGAGCTTTTCTAATCTTGATTACATTGGCAGTGTTGCTAGAAACCACCTAGGCATAGGTTGCCAATGCAGTTTGTTTTCAATCCGCTTCTCTCTTATCCTAGACCATACCTACACGGAGAAAAAATACTACCCAAAATTTGAGTTCTTTTTACTTAATATTGACTTCAGCCTCTCACTTGCACTCGTTATTGTTGTCAAAAAAGGAACGAGAGATTCGACCCAACGATATAGTTCAGCCCAATAAATTACTTGTGAGTAAATTGCATATTCTTAAATTTGCGTGAATTAAACTTAATTTTGGGTAGAATATACTTAAGAGTAGGTAATTTTTTTGCTGGTGTTAAATGGAAACTACTATATGCGATTTACTCAAATTTGGGTTATTGGGCTGAACCCCGGAATTGAGGGAAAAGTACTTAGTTTTGGGTTGTTTTTCATCTCCGTGTAGGCTTTCCCATTCTAATTTCCATACAAATTTCAAACGCAATTTGGAAAGCCTGGGACCTCAAATGGATCAAAAAAACATTGTTCTGAAAAAAAAAATGATCATGATGACCCAGTCTCTCTCTCTATTAATTACATATTACACGCAATCATATTACCATAAACATTGCATTTCATAAATAAATGAATATAAATACTGATTGCTAATGACGCACTCGCCCGCAACAACCGAACAGATGAATTCCCCCGAGAACACACCAAAGTGTGAAAATGAAAGATGTTTGCAGATAGAGCCCTTCGTCCCTCTCCTGCGAACCAAATACAAACAGCACCAGCTAAATGCGATGGGGAACAATGCGTTGCTACGGCGCGGCGTCGCGTCGTCGTAGCAAGCCGAGAGTAAATCAAAAAAGGGAGAACTCATCTGTCCACCGCAGATGATGGCATGCTTTGATGGTTGAAATCTTTTCTCTTTCCCGAATTTACAACGGTTTCTAGAATTCTGCAAAATGCTCAATCGTAGCAGACACGTGGCACCGGCTCCGCCAATAATGGCCGGAAGAAGCTTCAGCGTAAGTAACAGTTGGGGTTGGAATGCCGTCGGAATGGCCTAAGCGCCTTCATTCTTTAGTTGGTTTGGTTTGGAACGGAATGATTCTTCTAAAAAGCTGATCCTCATAGAATATGCATTTTTCTCTTTTTTCGCACTACTGATCGCACTCGGTCATGGATTTTAGCATGGACTACAAAAACGAAGGTAACATTTTTTGTGAGAATGAAATTGATTTCGAATGCTTTTTTTACGTGCTCTCCATGAGATTTTTTTTTGTCGATAATCTTCCGATGAATGTTTGAAATTGATACAAATTTGACTATTCCCATAGGCCACAGCGGCATCAACCAGCTGGGTGGCGTCTTCGTCGGCGGAAGACCTCTGCCGGATTCAACGCGACAGCGGATCGTCGAGCTGGCCCATGCCGGTGCCCGACCGTGTGATATTTCCCGAATTCTGCAGGTATCGAATGGATGCGTCAGTAAGATACTGGGAAGGTGAGTTTCCGTTGAAGATTAGAGTAAACTTGAAGGACTGGGAGTAGTTCTGTGGATATCTGTAGGTACTATGAAACCGGAAGTATCCGACCGCGAGCGATTGGGGGCTCGAAGCCACGCGTTGCGACCCCGGAGGTGGTGAATAGGATTTCCATGTTCAAACAAAACTGTCCGAATATTTTCGCCTGGGAGATCCGAGATAAGCTGCTGAACGAGCGTATTTGCACTCCGGAGAACATTCCAAGCGTAAGATCTGAATTTCTTTGGGATTGATTATGGATTTTTTTTGGAAAATGATGATCTTTGTAGGTTTCATCTATCAACCGTGTGCTGAGGAACCTGGCTGCCCAGAAGGAGTTTAGCAAGAAGCCTCACGCACAGGAATCCTCATCCGATGATTCGAGTTATTTGTCCACGAAGCCGTTGAACGACGGTTCGCCCTTTGTTCACTACAAATATGGAGATAATAGTACGATGAACTGGACGTCTGCTTGGGTCATTTGTTTCAAGCTAGTTTTCTATTCCAGCTGACATGAAAGCACAAGCCGAAGAGAACAAGAGCACCTTCACTAAGCACTGTTTTACGAATTTGGATTCACCGGCTGGTGGTGGTGTTGGAGGTGGCGGTGGTGGTGGCGGCGTTGGAAGTGGGGGAGGATTGGGCTTGGGGAGCAAACCACCTTCGACAACGCAACCACCGACTTCTGTTAGCTTCGATTCGGACTCGGAACGGCTCAGTCTAAAACGCAAACTGCAACGCAATAGGACCTCGTTTACCGTCGATCAGATCGAGTACCTGGAGAAGGAATTCGAACGGACTCACTATCCGGACGTGTTCTCCCGGGAACGGTTGTCTTCCAAAACCAATCTACCTGAGGCGCGCATTCAAGTAGGTCGGAACTTATCTGCGTTTGTTGCATTTTTCATGCGTGTCCATTTCAGGTTTGGTTCTCGAATCGTCGAGCTAAGTGGCGCCGTGAGGAGAAGCAACGCTCGCAAGCAGCGTCCGAAGGGTCTTCCGTAGCCGTCTCCGTATCAGCAGCTTCCGCCCAAGCATCGTCTGCCGTTTCGTCCTGCATGAATCTAACTTCTCCATTGGTTTCGCATGTTTACGATTCAAATATGTGCGTCGAAGATTCCAACAGTAACTATCTCAGCAAGAACTACCCGCTGGAACCGACGGCCTTCCAGAACCTTGATCCCCTGAAGTCACCTCAGTCTCATCAACCGCAAACGCATTCGCCCATGTCCTTTAAACTGTTCCCCAGTAGTTCGGGTGGCGGTCCGGTAGCTCCTGGGACTTCTGGTGGAGGAGGAGGTGGTGGTGGCGTTGGTGGCGGGCCTTCACACAACCCTTCTGGATCTCTGCACGAGTCAAGCTTGATGGACGCGGTAGCTCTCTCCAACAACGGCGGTTTCTCTCACGTACCTACCTCGGACGACAAGTCCCTGTACAACCACTTTGCCTACTCGGCGTCGTCGGCAGCAGTCGCGGCCGCTGCCAACATGCACCATTCGGCTGCGTACTCGGTGGCTGCGGCTGCGGCAGCCGATCATCACCATCATCATCATCATCATCAGTCCTACAATGGGATGTACCTGAAGAATCAGCTCTACAATTTGCCATCGAATGGCGTCCTCAGCTTCCAGTCGACGCTCGATTGGAACAAGAGTTAATGGTAGGTTCCACGAGGTCACGACACAGCCGAAGACCTCCCCTATTCGTACGATGACAACTGATGATGCACACATTGACAATGATGACGATTGATCGACAACAACATGCCATAACAGTATTTGTGGTGCGAACTTTTGAGGATCCCTCTATCGAATCATATTCCAGAAAATATGATAACTAAATGTTGAAAAAAAAAGCCATTTCCATTATTATAACTAAATGAAACACAAACGTGATCAGATTTTTTCTTTTGCTAAAAGTGATGGTTGTCCGTAGTTATTATACCTTACAATAAACACATACACACACACATATATATTGACATGTGGTAAAAAAAAAGTATTATTTTTGCGTCTAATAAATTAGTACGTTTTTAGAATATCATGCTGTGAAACAACATACAAACATTACCCGAGAGTAAGATGGTAAGGACAGGAGAAGTGTTAGGAAAATTTGAATATTTTAATTATATGAAATCTCATGCGGAGAGGTGAAGCGCATAAATGAAAATTGAATCTCTTACTAGAACAATATACCGATATATATCACAATGAGGTGAACATGAAACTGAAATGTACAATAAATGAAGCACATTATTATTGAAGGAAAGTGAAATCAATTTTAAAATTAAACTGTTACTGTGAGTGAAAGTTATTTCCGGTAAAAAATGAGAATTCCCTTGAACACCACCGGAGTGAAATGGGTTTAGTAACTTCATATATAATTATAAGTTAATATATAAAAGATTTTCAGGAGAATTTCAATTTCAATGAGAGAAGACTACTAATGTTGGTTCAGAGAAGACTACCATAGAGATAACTCTAAGAACAGAAGGTCCCGAAGAAACGTGCTCAACTTTTTGGCTCAGCTCTGGTACTATCTTCGGTCCCAAGCTAATCGATGCACCCCTCGAAACATAGGAAAATCCACGAACCCCTCATTTTATCTGTCAAACTTTCATAGCGAATCAAAACAAACATAGTGTAGTACTAGAATTTCGACTAGAATGGGGAACGTTAATCGATTTGTTTGGGACCAATAGGCTAGTCAAGTAGTGAGCCAATTTAAAATCGTTAGTTTCCACCGGTTGAGACTACTGAAGAGTATACCACAGACAAACAGACATAACTCCTGCATTTATTTCATCGAACACGCATTTCTTTGCATTTGACGTTTACACATTACCGCCATCTGTTGACCGTACAGTCGGTGACACTGTACTCAACAGATGGCGGTAGTATTAAGTGACGATGATAACGACGACTTCAATGCGTTATGTCTATGCGTCTGTGAGTATGCCAAGGGACTTCGGAAGAACTTTCATAAAGAATTTCAAGAAAGATAACTGAGCGACCTTGTAAGATCCTGACGGTCTGTGGTATAAACACACCGTAATTGACCAAACTTGTGAGAGTTATTAAGTGAATATTGTTGATGATTTTCACTTATTTGCATCTGATATATTTCTCAAAACAATAGAAATTAAAATTATTCTTAAATATAAGAAATTGGTTTGTCTTTCAAAACTTGTACAATGTTTTCCATGAGTATTCGTAAAATCAATATTTTCGTGGTGTTTTAAGATACTCATAATTAAAATTGTTAACCTGGAAATTTATTAGGGGTAAAAATTCGATAATTCCAACATGAAAATTTAGTGGCCGCTTTCCTATTTCATTTATACAACCCCAAGCTGTATTCAAATGCTATATACGACATGAGGTAACCTTTACTCAACCTCTATTCAAGCAAATCTGACGAAACAATTGTGACAATTGCCATATGGCTCATCGCTTCCAACCAGCCAGGCCGATTAAAACCAGCCAGGTCGGAAGGAGGTTCCGGCACGCAACGAGCAGAATTTCCCCGCCATTATTCAACGGCGTCAGATTCCGGATCTTCGACGCTTCCACTCAACAACCGTTAAGCCAACCGGTGGAAACTAACGATTTCAAATTGGCTCACTACTTGACTAGTTAGTCTATTAGTCCCAAGTACATCTATAAGCGTACCCCATTCTAGTCGAAATTCTAGTACTACACTATGTTTGTTTTGATTCTCTATGAAAGTTTGACAGATAAAATGAAGGGATCGTGGATTTTCCTATGTTTCGAGGGGTGCATCGGTTACCTTGGGACCGAAGAGGGTACCAGAGCTGAACCAAAAAGTTGAGCACGTTTCTTCGGGACCTTCTGATCTTAGACCTACCTCAAGATACCAGAGCTGTTGTTGAGCACGTTTACCTCTATGGTACAACATCTTGAGTCCGGACACTCCCACCCGTTTGAGTCGGTCCGGTGTTCACGCTACCATCAATATCTTCATCAGTAATATAGGCAACAACATCGGTCAACCTATCACCCTCGCTATCACCTAACAGGAACTCAGCTCAGACCACTGGTTCCTCGGTGAACCGATTCGAAGCTTCCCGGCGTAACTACCATCATGTCAACTGGGATCAATATCAACACTTCGTTGACACAACCATCGACTACGATGTCCAACCTGAGACGTCTGAAGACGTTGACCGGTGTCTGCAATCTATAGAGGAGGCAATATCGCGGGCCAGGGAACAACACGTACCAGTATCCAGGCAGGTGAGTAACACTCTGAACCTTGACTGCCGTACCAAAGATCTCATTAGGGTCCGTACCACTGTTCTGGTCTGCCTAAGTTGAAGACCAATTGTAATCGATTAACAAAGATCATTCAGACCAGGATGGTGGACCTCAGAAATAACGCTTTGGAAGATTTGGTGATTCTGAACGACATAGAAACAACCGCAAGCATCTAGGTCAATTTTTATAATGTGACCACTTTATTGGTCAATCCGGACTATCCGGAGAACCAAGAAATGGTCACTTTACCCCAAAATATAGTTTCCATTTAAAATACGCTTTCATTCCATGATTCTGAACAATACTCGGAACAATATATAAAAAATCGGAAGGTTCTAGGACATTTTTTATAATGTGGCCCCTTTATCGATCGTTCCAGATTCTCCTTTGGGCCAGCAGAGGTTTACTCAGGGTGTATATGGTGTCATTACACCATATACATATGCTAAGTACAATCAATTTCCAGTAATATACGTAAAGTAACATGTGAAACTATGTCGATAGATAGTGGCATTTCTTACTTTACCGGAAACTCGGGTTGATCCCGGCCGTATATCTCGGCAGCCAATGAATCGATCCAGCAGAGTTTTTCCTTTAAGAATATGTGTAACATGTTGACTGAAATCGTTTGTCAGCCGATATATTCAATTTAGCCGCGGTTTTGTCAATTTTTGCCCACTGGAGAAAGTCGAAAGTTTCCAATATCTTGGCAACCAGATAGCATCAGACGGCGGAACCAAGAGTGACATAGGTGCACGAATCAAGAAGGCTAGGGCTGTTTTTGCGAATTTACGATTTGTATGTAGATCTAACCAGATAACTTAACGTACCAAAATTCGTGAAATCAAACCAGCGAGACGTAGGGTGTATCATCGGAGGACACCTAAAAGCTGCAAGTCTTCATCAAACGATGCCTGCGGTATATAATTTGTGCCTGGTGGCCTCACAACTGGATCTTGAATGCTGAGCTCCATCGTCGATGTCATCAGAAACCGATTTTGACAGGAACTCTAGAACGTAAGTGAGAGGTGGGTCGGTCACACACTACGAAGAGGAAAAAAGTAAAGGGTTGTGTCCTATACACGACCGCAGTATGACGCAGAACCACGTCAAATTGATGTATATCATGCATTTTTGACTATTATACATTTTCTTAAATTTTTCAAGTATTTCAATGTCTGGTGTTTTGCATGTATAACTTTTCCAAGTTCCTCATTTCCTCATTGTGATAGGTGGTCACGACATGATCCACCTTAATCCGCTGACTTGCTCCTGCTTGCTGCAGGATCAAGTGCCACGCCGTCCTAAGCGGTAATGAGCAAAGGCATGACAGCAGCGCTGTTTAATATCTTTTCAGGTTCAAGCAGAACGATGTACAACCAAATGGCACTCGATTATGACGACTGGGTTAGGGAAAATCGTTTATATCATGAAAACAGACAAAATTATCATATGTGCATTTTTCAAATGTTTTTTGTGGAAAATTGAATAAAAAATATTTATTTCAACAGATTCGTAATGTAATATTCTATCGATTGGCGTATTTGGATTTTATGTTCATCTATAAATGACAAAGTTACAAGCGTTTAAAACCTAACACAATTTCACCACACATATTTTTTGATTTGCACCCCCAGTATAGTCGACAAAGACGTAGTTCTACTGCTGGTTCTACGTCAAAACGAAATCTGCAAGCAAGCGCTGAATCCGGCAGGATATCGCAGCAGAGGCAGATCAAAGGGTTCATGGCGGTGGAACCTCAACAAGGAAATAAAGAAAGTGTACAGGAATCAGACCTGGTCCCAGGTCAAATCAACAGCGAGCAGCCGCCCAGGATGGACATCTTTTACTAAGGGTGTGCAGGATGCGTGAGTGAGTGAGTGAGCGTCTTTAGAAATACTTCACAAGAATGGATCACATGATTCGAGCAGTTTAATGCCTTGCAACATTATTTTGAGATTTTATCTTACTTCATGAACAAGAAGTCTTATTTCTACACAGCAAAAAAAAAATGTAATATCGATCAATGTAATTCAAGCTGATGTATGAAATTTAGACCTGGTTGCAGCAGTTTGGATGTAATATTCAACAACTTTTTTTTTCTGTGTAGAGACCTTATATAAACGTCATTGGCATTGACGAGAGCTCTGTAACTCTTTACTCCTATAGTCCTCTCCAGGCGGGTTCGTATTGGTGTGTTAGTGAGATGAAATTTTTTGTTAGCTGTGAGAATTTTTTTGTTTGCTGTAAGAACTGTCATTCTAAAGTAAAAATAAACAACAAAACTAAAACAAACCCTACGCTTTCACGGTAACAGTCAAATACCCTTTTATGAGTAAAAGTTAACCCATTTTTAATAAAAGTGGCTTTGCTCATTAATGAGTAAATTATTTTAACAACAATGAGTTTCTGCTAACAGTAGCTAACAGTTAGTACTTAATTAACCACTTCATTCGAGCAATTAAAATGACGTTTACTACCACTTGAACTTTAAAATAAAACATTATTTTGAGATTTTTTCTTGTAGAACCTCGAGAAAAGTAGCCAATATTTGTGCGTTTCATAAAAAAATAGAAATTAGTTGGTCCAGTTTTGTGAAATCGCTGGTAGAAAACCACGCCAAAACTGCTTGACAAAGTGGTCCATTGGTATAATAAATTACTCATTAATTAGCAGGGCCAATTTTATTGACAATGGGTTCACTTTTACTCATAAATGCAAGTTTGATTCTTACCGTGCACATGACAGTATACGCTAGTGTGTGTAAAATTATATTATTAGTTTAGTGTTCGTGAGATCCTGCTTGGAGAACTCAATGTAGAAATCTCATATGTAACTGTCAGTCTATGTGTGAAACATGGCGGACTTTTTCTTATTCTCTCACTCCAACGCAAAACCCCATAAGGAACTGTCAAAATGTGTGTGAAGAAACGTCACTTCAGGACTGGTGTCAAGGCGAATTGCCTAAAGAGAACTATTCTGATACGTGCAACCATGAAACGTTTCATTTCAAA